CTGTGGAAAGGAAAAACACCCAGCGCTGTAACGTGGGAAATCTTACTTGTTATCAGCAACAGCTTCGAGTCTTTGTTCCCCTACGTAGCTGCGTCTAGGGGAGGACGACAAGTGTCAGCAGTGAGTGGTTTGCGTTTCATTTGTTGGGGTGGGTAGGCGCGGTGGCTAGCAGAGAGATGATGTAGATGACTACCATAGTGGGGGCAGGAAAAGATGGCCTCCTACCCCGCCTCTCTTCACTCCACTCCAGCCTATCCATCAGGTGCCAGAAAAGGCCAGACAGACAATGCAGAGTATGGACGGCTGGCCACTCAGGGGGCATCTGCTAGATGGACAAATCACGGATGTCACTCTTCTCCTCTCCATTCCTTCCTCACCTCTTCCTCTTAGATAATTCCTCCCCCACTGAGAACGAGAGAGAATGAGCGCGAGAGAAACAGGTATTTCAAAGCAGCGTGCATCTTAACGGCACCAGCTCCCTCTCCAAGATGTCACAGAAAACAGCATGTTTGAAACTTTACTAGGTTTCAGATCACGATTCCTCCCAAGTGGTCTTCACAGTTATGATGGGCACATGTTTCAACAGGCAGCCTCCTGGCTCCTCGCTGTCTTTCCTTTTTTTGAATACATCATTTTTCTTTATTTTACATGAACCCAAATGAAAAAAGGTTTCCAAAATTAACACTAATTGCTGACAGTAATGCCACATTTTCATTTTTGAACAGACATTCTGTTCTTTCTGCCTTTCAGGTGCACATACACTCCCCTGGCTTTTTTGCACACACACACTCACACACACTCTCACAAGGTAGGAACACTGCTCAGTGGCCAAGCTGGGCTGGCTCATGTCAGGTACTGCACCACGAGGAACATGACCACGCAGGTGAGCAGCATGCCTCCTATCATGAAGTACTTGTCCTGGAATGCTCGCTTCTCGATGAGCCGCATCACTGTGTTGGACAAGCCCAGCATGTTGGCGATGTCGAGGATCTTCTTCTGAGTCCCCTGGATGAGAAGAGAACTCAGGTCAGCTCGTGGCACCAAGGTGGGGGAAGGTCATCAGGAGATGGGGCTTCACCAACAGGCATTCTCCTGCTGTGCCCAGAGCACACGAAGGGCAAAACCAAGCAGAAACAGACCCCTCCCATAGGGTCAACTGACTTAGGATCAAAGTGCCTGAGCAATTCAAGAGGGAAAGAAAAGTCTTTTCTGAAAATGGTGCCGAAACAACTGGCTTTTAATAACATCGCACAGGTAT